CTCTCTCTCTCTCTCTCTCTCTCTCTCTCTCTTCCCTCCTTCGCAAGTAGATGAGGTGGGGAGAAGGAAGAAGAAGAGAGGGGGGGGGCGAGGGAGAAGGAGAGAGAGAAGGGAGGAAGGGGGAAAGAAGGGGAGGGCGGGGGCGGTGGGGGATGGAGGGAGGGAGGAAGGGAGGGAGGGAGGGAGGGAGGGGGCGGGCTTGTGGGGGGTGGGGTGGGAGATGATTACGTCACAATAAACAAGCGCTGAGAGCACTATCTTCGCCCTCCTCGAGAGGTTAAGGAGGCGGTGTGGGCGGCGCGGAGGTCCCCAGGTGGGCGTGCGGGCGTGCGGGCGTCTGGGGGGGGGGGGTAAAGTAGGTTAAGGGACGGGGTGCGTGGAGGAGGAGAAAGGGGGGGGGAGAGGGGGGGGAGAGGGAGGGAGAGGGAAGAAAGAAGGGGAAAGAGGAGAGGGTGAGGGTGAGGGAAGAAGAGGGGGAGAGAAGGAGGGAGAAGGAGGGAGGAAGAAAGGGAAAAAGAGGATGAAGATAAGGGGGAGGGAGGAAGGGGGAATGGAGGGAGAGGGAAGAAGGATAGGGAAGGGGAAGGGAGGATGAGGGAGGAAAAGAAGAAGAGGGAGGGGGGAGAAGAAAAGGATAAGGAGATGGTGAGAAGGAGAGAGGGAAAGAGAGATAGGAAAAGAAAGAAAGCAAGAGGAGTAAGGGAAAGAGAGTGAAAGGAGGTGGGAGGGAAGAGTAAAAGATGCAGAAAGAGGAGGAGGGAGGAGAAAGAGAGGGAAGAAGAGAGAAAGTTTGAAGAGGAAGGGAATTAAAAGAGAGAGAGAGAGAGAGAGAGAGAGAGAGAGAGAGAGAGAGAGAGAGAGAGATTAAAGTACGTAGGAATGAAAGGAGGGAAATTAACATGCGCAGAAATAAAAGGAGAAAGAAAGAGACAGATTAACGCACGAAGAACTGAAAAGAGAAAAGAAAAGAAATAAAAAGAGAAAAAAAATAAAAATAAAAAGAGAAAGAAAGAAAAAGAAAAAAGAAAGAACGAGAGAAAGAGAGAAAAGGAAGAAAGAGAGAGAAAGAGAAAATGAAGTTAAAACGTCCTTAAATTGAGATTATATTTCTTGATTTTTTTTCTCTCATCTCAATAATGTTTATAATCATGTGAATGTACGTGTGTGTGTTTGTGATTGCTTGACGCCATCAAACCCGCTGCCAGTGTTACCCCCACGATCGGTGTAGCTGTTATTGGCAATGCTGATGTTATTTTTCCCCTAAGAAAAAAAATTAATGAAAATGACAATAATAATGATGATAATAATAATGACAATGATAATGATAATGATATTGATAATGATAATGATAATGATAATAATAATAATAATGATAATAATAATAACAA